TATTATAATTATATTATTATAATATTAATATTAAATTATAATATATATTAATATCTTAATAATATAATTATATATTAATTATTATTATTAATTAATAATTAATAAATAAATAAATAAATATATATATATATATATATATTATGTATATAAATTATATTATAATAAAAAAAATAAATCATATTAATTTTTTATTTCAGTTTTCAGATTACATTACAGAGTTACATTTGTGGCTTTACTTCTTAGCAGTCTTTTGGTATCTGCCAGACAATACGTGGGTGAACACATAAGGTATAATTATTGAAATAAAATTAGAATAATCATTAATATAAATTGATGAATTTATTATTAAATTATGATTTGTATGAATACAGGTGTATAACAGATACTGCGGTAAATTTGAAAGTAATAGAAACTTATTGCTTCTTTACGTCTACTTTCACTGTGGTGAGTCTCATGATAATGTTTGTATTTAATGTAAGTTATGCAAGGAATGAGTGAGGATGGGTGGAGTGTGAGGAGGGGGAGGGGAAGAGGACTATCCCTTTCATAACCGTGTGAAAACGAGAGTCCCTGTAATTTGTTATAAGATCTCAATTATGTAAATTATATACGCGTGTTTCTTATCGATCTGATAAAAAATTGAATTTACAGTCAAAACACATGAACGCATCGCACGTTAACGACGGAGAAATACCACATCCTGGTGTTGGTCCTGTTAGTAAAAATGACGAGATTGTTCATCATGCTTATTATCAATGGGTACCATTCGTTTTATTTTTTCAAGCACTTTTATTCTATATGCCACATTATTTGTGGCGTAGAGCTGAAGGTATGATATATAGATAATTATATTTTATTGTAATACATGTTAGATGATTATCTTTGTAAAGATATTTTTGTAAAGATTGAAATAGTTTTAAAAATAATTTTTTTTTTTTAAATTATTATATTGAATCTAACTATCGAAATAGAACCCAAAATATATTATTAATATATGCAATATATTATAATATAATTAATAATATTAGTTGTAATATTAATTACAATATAATATAATATAATATTATAATATTATTATATAATTATATATATATATGTAATAATATAATATTTATTATTTTTAATATTTTAATATTTATTTTAATATAATATTATAATATCAATTATAATATAATTAATATATATATATATATATATATATATATATATATATTTATAACACAAAGTAAATTTTATCTTCCTTATCTTTATTCACTTACACATGATCAAACATAATACAGTTACCAACCCACCACCTCACATTAATCATACAAGATAGCTATATTTTTTGACTTACATTATATTAGACATTTGAGAAGATTGCTGCGCAATCGTGTTTGCTGATAACGTAAGTTCATGAGAGATTGAATGTTAGTAAGAATCAAGAACAACGTTTAATAATACCTTCTTAACTCACTATTGATATAATTCTATGATATAGAAACAGTCTTGTTTCTTCTGGTGACACGTTTAGTAAATGATAATCATATTCTCCGTTACATGATCTTATTATGTGTATTATTAAATATATTTATACTAACTAAGAAATTAAATAAGAAGCTAAAGCTTAAGAAGAAGAAGAAGAAGAAGAAGAAAAAGAAGAGGTTGTAAAAAGAGAAGAAGATACTTGAGAAAAAGAAAGATAGGGGATAAAGAAATGCAAGATTGCTGAATAATCATATTAACTAGAAGTAAAGACAGGAGACAACAACATCATCGTAATATTTGAAAACTATATTTTATTGCAAACGGAACAATGGCGGTTACATTTTTAACAACGTTTGCTGCATTGAAAGATCACGTTAAAATTAAAGTATCCCAGGATGCGGCATCCATTGATAATATTGGTAAATTTGTGTTTTATTTTTTCAAATATTAGTGTGTCAGTTGATAAATTTGAAGTGTTATACATAGTTCACGAGGTCAACGTTATGTGATATATAACATTATAATCAGACATGTGTTTTTATTTTTCTTCTTTCATCACGAAAATTCAATTACATTCATTTATTTATTTATTTATTTATTATATATATATATATTATAATTACTTTATTATAATTATATTATTATAATATTAATATTAAATTATAATATATATTAATATCTTAATAATATAATTATATATTAATTATT